AAGCTGTTGCTGGCTGTCCACAGCCGTGTTGACAAGTCGACACGGCTCGTCCGGGGCTTGAGTTGGGTGCGCCATTTCTCCACCCCGAGAGCTCATTGCTGCAATACTTTCGATTTGGTTATGCCATGGTGACATTAAAGTATGAATCGAATGATAACCGAGGACGATAGCAAGTGTTTGGGTGTAGACGATTGAGGGGGGCTTGCGCCGTTGAAACTCTGAAAGCTGATCAGCTTGAGCTAAAACGCTGCAACTGCAAAACACATCTCAGGGTCTCAACAAGCGGCCCACAAAGGACAGACCCCAGACCAGCCCTCGGTGCTCTTGGTCTCGTCGTAGTTAGCGTTCAGGCGGACTGGGATAAATTCACACACTGTAGTACCTCGACGCAGGTGAGATAAGTAAAGTAGGTCAGGTAATGAGGGTGTTGTTAGTAGAGGCCGTTATCAGAGTTTGGAGAAGTCAACTGAATGAGAGTGATTCACTACAAAAAAAAAAGACTCCAGATTTGACTCGACCGTCCCCCAATGTGTCAATCTTATCGCAGCCCACCCGGCGTCTCAGTGAATCTGTAGCGTGTAGTGAGAATAGAGGGGGATGGGGCATGAGGCTCGGATTGGCTGGGGGAGTTGTTCAAAGTTGTGTGAGAACTTTAGCTATGCTGGCCATGGATGATTTGTGCAGGTCAAGCTCAAGGTAGGTAAGGCGCTGGAAATAATGCTGATCTAGGCTTTTCCTCTCCTGCCTCCTCCTCCTTCTTTTATCAGCTGAGAACTTTTGTGAAGCCTTCCATCTTTGGTTCTATTCGCCAAACCCCCTCAGTTCAACATTCAACCCCTCCATGGTAGTTCCAGCTACCTTTTGTTTCTCTCTCTTCTCACAGGAGTTGCTGAGACAGGCAGCTGAGTTTGCTGCTGAGCGAAGTGAAGGTGAAATAACCCGATACTGGGGAAATTGTTCAGAAGTGAGTACATGATCAGACAATCAATCAGTATGCTCTTGTTGCTCGTACAAGGCGAAACAGCCACATCTTACCCAGCTCTCGCTGAGGTGCACGCACGCGTTGACTTGACCTTGCTCTTGGCGAGTGAGAGGCTGACGAAGTGGAGGCGGAGGCCGCCACTTTCAGTTTGGCTCTCCTCTTCTGTGGCATTTCTGCTCGGCTAATAGCCAATGGAGAACCCCTAGCACCAACTGTACCCATCTTCCATGACCTGGGTCTAGGTCGGCCACGATAGCCTCGCCGAGGCAGCCTCACCTGTTTCCCTCTGCCATTTCCTTCTTCTTTTACCTCTTGCGACTTTGGGTGTCTCTTTGCTCCTGGACGCGCTTTGACTTTCCACATTTTTGTAGCCATTGGCCTCTACCTTGTCCCTCCTTCTGACCTCATCAGCCGAGACTTTGTTCGCACATCGTTCGATTTCGACTTCAATTCCCCTCGCCTGCCCGTATATTTTTGTTTCGCCGTCTCTATTCACTTCTCTTCGACGTCAATTATACCGAAACTACCGAAACTGCGACGATATTGACTCTTAACCACCGACTAGGTAGCAGGAAATTTCGTGCTCGATCCCGTGGCCGATTCGTCCTCGATTGATCAATGACCTCCTCCGGCTTAACCTGCTGACGACTGCATCTACATCGACTCACAGCCTTGCCCGATGGAACCTTCGAGTAAAAAGCGAAAGCTGGCCCCTAAGGTCAACACGACTCCCAGCAAGCCGCCGCCGCCAACACAATTCCCTCACGAATCGGTCAGCCTTGTTTTCCAGCTTTCTGCGTGTCCTTGCTAACCCAGGCTCGGATATAGCCCCAGCAACATTATCCAGCTCAGGAGGTCGCAGCTCCTCTTTCCGAAAGACATGATTTTGAGTCTTTTGCGCGGCATCTACAGGATGCTGCTATGCTGATCCAGAGACAGACCGAACGTCACCCTTACACTGACGTTTCTGTGTTACTATTAAGGTGGGAAGAAGACAAGTCTGTTGATGAAGACCTGGCTGCACTCGAGCAAGTGTTCCAGAAGCACTACAAATACCGAACTGAGCGATGGCATATTCCCACGGTACCGAACCCTAGCATAAAGCTCGGAGTTCAGATTGCTTCTTTTCTCGAGAATGCAAGAGCCAATCATCTGCTCATTATCTACTATGCTGGCCAGGGCTACGTAAGCTCTGATGGCCAGCTTTTCTGGGCTTGGTGAGTCGAACATTTCTCAAATGTCCTCTTCCTCCTGCCTCTGACAGCCTTCCCATAGTAATGCACGAGAAGATGCTGCAAAACTCAAGTGGGATGGCGTCCGTTGCCTGTTCGAGGATGCCCAGTCCGATATCCTCTTGTTGCTGGACACATGTGCGTTACCGGATCCTCCCATGGCCGGTAGTCACGGCGTGAAGCAAGCCATAGCAGCCTGCACATCCGACCGTAGCCCAGACAGTACAGAACGCTCCTTTACGTCAAATTTGGTTGAGGTTTTACAGAAGCTCAGTAGCGGGCGTCCCTTTACGACACAGAAGCTCCACGAGGAACTGTTATCGCTGAAGCAGCAACAGCAACTGGTTCAGACTCCCCGGCAAACGAATGGCAGTACCTCGAATACACATTCATCTCCAAATCATCCGGTTTTTATGCCATTGACACCAGGAAAGGGTCATAGTATTGCTCTTGCGCCAATGCCCTCAAGATCTCGTTCAGAATCACAGAATGGAGTCGACGCAGAGGGCCAAGGGAACCGCGAAGAACAGCTCATTGACCCAGAGTCAGTTGTTGACCTTAGGTTTGAAGAGCACCGTGTCCTCGTTTGTACGACCTTTGTTGGTGATGCTAGCCCAGATATGTCCTTTTTCTCTCAATGGCTACAAAGCACGCCTCCCCTGGGCGATAAAATTGCGGTGGAAGGCATGTTCCTTGGACCACCTACGATGCTTCTTATCTCCATGCCCCACTCCATCTGGAACGTGGTACAGCACGACAAAGTTTGTTGTTTCTTGGGGTATATAAGCTCTCACAACATGATTCACTTGTATCACAGACTTGTAGGTTCTTCTGGTATTAAGCCTTCTGCAAGAGAAGTCGAAGATGGCCGAATTCTCCTGGAGGCAAGGGACCACGCATATGGGACACCTGCACGTGTTCGACGAGACGAGGGTCACGATATCTCTTTCCATTCCCCGGCCGTGAGGGAAACTCCCAACTCCGTAGAACGAAACGAACATCTTCCACAAACAAGTCCTTCAGCCCCATCGTATGCGAACCCAGCAGGTGGACATGGCAAGCCCAAAGACGAAGTGGAGGACTCTGCGGAGATGCAAGAAGCTGCTGAACAGTTGAAGGCCTTGAGCCATGTGCGGCATCGCAGCGACGAGACCCAAAATATCAACAGGCCGCGCACGATCCTTCCTGACGGGATGCCTGACATAAGGCCAGATGGCGAGACTGAGGAGCATGGTAACGATGATCCTTTGGCAACACTTCGCAATACCAACGCGGCAGCCAAGCCACCACGACGGTCCCTCCCCAAGCAGGACACTCGCTGCAACCATTGCAGTCATGCCCCTTTTAAGGACTCGTCTTCGTTGAGGAAACACATTGCTGCGGCCCATACCAGGCCGTTCCCATGTGCGTTTTCATTCGCTGGATGTACCAGCACTTTTGGATCCAAGAACGAATGGAAACGACATATTGCATCTCAACATCTGTGTCTGCAGTACTATCGTTGTTCATCCTGCCCTCAGAGCACGGCCGAGGGCAAGGGCAACGAGTTCAACCGCAAAGATCTGTTCACCCAACACTTGCGACGCATGCATGCACCCTTCCAGATCAAGAGAGCGATTGCTAAGGGTGATAGTAAACTCCAATCTGAGTGGGATACGCATGTGAAGGAGATGCAAGTGTCGTGCCTTGTTCAGCGTCGCTTACCACCTCAGCGCTCAGCATGCCCGAAGCAAGGCTGCCAGAGCGTCTTCGAAGGCCCATCGTCCTGGGACGAGTGGACCGAGCATGTCGGTCGGCACATGGAGAAGGGCGAAGGTGGCAGGCTTGGAGTGGATGGCCTTCTGGCCCAGTGGGCACTGGATGAGGGCATCATCGAGCGCAAGCCTGATGGCGAGTACCGGTTGTCGGCAAGCAACGGTATGGGAAGCGGCGGAGCTACTGGGGGTACGAGTGGCAGCAGCGCAGCTGTTCCCCCTGTCTTTGAACAGAAAGAGTCGACTATGACATCAACATCGACACTTGAACCCTCACAGCCGGCGGAAGAATCCCTGATCATGGACACAAAGCCTTCAGAAGACAGGATGGAGGTTGACACTCCAGAGTGAAAGAAAAAATTTGGCGCTTGGTGACTGACTACAGGACCCATGTTACGAATCAGTGCAATGCACTCAACGATATGACGAAACGAAGTAAATGACCTGAGATTTTATACAGCTTTCCTTTCTTATAGTAGTGACAGTCGCTACCTTACTCAGCAGTCACTCGCTTAGATGACTTCTCATAAAGACTACCCTGACGGGACGGATTGAGTTCAATCCGACTGGAGTTATGAGAAATGTAAAAGGATACAAAAAGTCAATGATCAAAATAAGAGACAATCAAATGAGCTTGCTGGTATAAGTGATCCATCTTTTGTATTATACAGGTATTAGCTTGTTCCTGAATATAAGTATCTATGTTAAGAGATATGACCAATTGGAGTTTGTCTGGAAGTGCTAAATAATTAGCAAGCTTCAATGAACCATTACTTCTATCAGAACTACGGAGTAAAGATCCTTCTATGAGCATTTTGTTCAGGGGGTTTCTTCAATCGTTGCCAATCAAGGTCCACTGTCGTCGGCAAAATAATTTTGCGCCCCTCCGAGCACCGGTGAAGTGTCGCAACACTGAGGGGGGAACCGCTAGGCTATACCAAATCAAGCATCCAGCTCCATCCACAAACAAGGCTAAGACAACCAACACCATCCTCCAAACGCTCGAGGCCCAGGTTCCCGAGTGGACAAGACATGAGCTTTCAAGCGCCTCCAAGCCCGAGCCCCCACGACCCATCACTATCCTCACCTTCTTCTCCCGCGCCTGCGCCATCTCCAACATCCACGGCGCGTCATTACCAGCAGCAGCAACAACAACAACAACAGTACCAACAGCAGCAGTACTCCCCGCAGCCGCAACATCAGTGGCAGCAGCAGCAGATCGCTATGATGAATGGTATGAATGGGACGAACATGGCTGCCGGGATGCCTGTTCCTACACCTGCAGGCCACCAAGCTGAACTTAACTACATCTATGGTATGGTTGAGGAGCTCAGCCGCCAACTTGCAGAGAACCGAAGGGTTACAGAGGATATTGTCAATGGGTTGGGAAGAGTGAGGAACAGGGCGAGGGCACAGGGGGTTAGCAATTCACAAGTTATTGAAAATGCTGCCGATGATATAAATGGTATGTCTTCTATCTTACACTCACTGAACCACAGCTAACCTATCCCAGGCCAAGAACAAAACATCGACGCTCTGGTATCGCTCCTCACAGAATCTCTAGAAAAAGCAAAGTTCAGCCGTGACTCCAATGCCAAACTCCTCTCGCAATACGCCAACGCCATGGCAAACCTCCTTCGACAATTCCACGAGTACAAGACCAAGCACGTCAGTGATGTAGCCGCCTGGCACCGCTCCTACCGCAAGCAACTCGCCGACGCACGCGACGAGAACGCCCGTCTTCGCGAACAAATCTGGCAGATGCAAGCGCACGCAGGTCGCGCGAACGAGAGCCTTCGCGAGTACCGGCGCAAGTACGACGAAGACGAAGGGCGCTGGAACAAACTCGTTGATGAGAAAGCGCATCGTCAGGAGTTGCGATTCTGGAAGCGCATGGCTATGCCTGAACTCGACGATGATGATCCTTACTGGAGTGACGATGATGATATTATCGACCCGGCTGAAAAGCAAAGGTTGCATGAACTGGACCTCAAGGCGGCACAGGAGCAGTTGGACAGTCAGGCAGAGGATAGTGATGGACAAGGTCCGCCGCCTCAGCTGCCTCTACCGGGTATGGGTATCGGGATGGGGATGATGGGAGGTATTCCGATGCAAAGGGAAGATTCTGGGGCTTCGCATGGTGTACCTGCGTTGCCACCTCGGCCGTCGAGCGCGGCGTCAAGTACAGGGTCGACGGGACAGTAGGGGGGAGTGTTTGAAGGGCAGGGAGACGACTTGAAAAATGGGAATGTTTTGATTTAGCGATACCCAAGACATGAATGGATATGTACCATAGGAATAAATGGATTATATGTGTTAAGAAACATGCTATTGCTCAGTTCCTCAAGCATCAGGAGCCACGAAGAATGAAGCAGTAGCTTGCCTAGCCAATTCAGTGTTTATGATGATGAAGGGAAGCCATTAAGAGAAAAACTGATCAAGAATTGTATGAAGTATCGTCTTGCACTATCTTGTATCCCCATTTCCGGTATCAAACTATGGCATGCCGCCTTTACTGTACACTACTCTTACACCAAACAACCCAACCGTGTATCTAGTCCGGTCAACTCCCCGCTCACCCTTATAGCATCGATTTCATGTTCATGTCTCACATTTTAATGATTAATAACCACTTTGCTCCTTTCGCGAACCTCCATCGCCACTACCACCACCCTCACCATCCTTGGCTCCAGCAGCTGCCTCCTGAATACCCTGCTCATCACCTCGAAGCTTGGCAAAATATGCTTTGATATCCTCAGCGCCAATGGCTTGTCCGCTCTCGGCAAACTGCTGGAAGAATGGTTTGAGTCGTTCCTTGAGGTGGTTGTAAGCCATGACACCCTCGATGGCTCGTACGCGGTCGACATTGCGAAGTGCGCTCTCACCACGCTCAAGGAGACTGCCACTGCCGTGAGAACCACCGCCATTGCCGCCTGCTTGGGAGCCATCGTCGGACAGGGGTGGTTCGTAGACTTCTTCCTCTTCGAGGAGCTGAGGGTGGGGGTTGAGGTTGGGATAGCAGGATGAGCAGCGGCAGAATGCTTCGCGAAAGTCTTCCTTCATGAAGAGCGAGAACTGTCCCTGAGGGGCAGGGGGAAAATTCTTCAGTTTGCAGGGGAGCGTATCGGTGAATGACGTCTCTGCGGGCTTCGAATCTTCGGATAGGGACTCGCTCTTGACACGCTTAACTTCTGTAGACTCCTCGGTATCATCTTCGGCCTTGCGCTTTCGCGAGGCTGATGCGGACCCGTCTGTAGGTGCTTGCTCAGTAGCAGTAGAAGATTCCTCTTTGACCGAGGGTGCCTCAACTTTTGCTTCCGAGTCGGCCTGGTTGACAAAGACTGCGGGAAGAAAGCCCGAAGTACCAGCGTAGCGCTTGATCCAGGGATGCGCATCGACACACTTGTAGCATAGGAAGGCCTCGAAGGCATCCTCCTCTGGAAATCCTGGGGGCATGGGGACATCTTCATCCTCTTCCTCTTCCTCGGTAGTAGGCTGGGCAGTACCGTTCGTCTCCCCAGACTTCTCGGCCGGATTCTGCTGCTCTTCGTTACCCTCGGTGATCGTCGTCAACTTGCCTTCGTCAGCATTCGCTTTAGCTGCCTTCTTAGGCTTCTCCATCTTCTCGAACCAGTTAGGCCCCATGCCAACAAGACAACCTGGATGATACCAGTCTTCGCCGCATCCACCTGTTTCAGTAGTTCCCAGACCAAGACACTGGAACATTGTGCCCTTCTGTTGGAACGGATCATAGTCGCACTCGCAGCCGCAGAATCTATTGCGGAAGTTGTGATTGTACTTGTTGTTCACATCGGGCTCTTCGGAGTGAACCCCACCTCGAGTGTTGGTGGCCTCGTTCAGGCGGAGAGTACATGGGCTTGTCGATGGGATGCGCTTGGTACCGCAGTCGCATGTGAAGTTGCGCTTCTGGAAAATCTCGACGAGTGTATGTTCGCCGTGACATTGGATAGAACAAGCATAGCAGACACCTGCGGGGGTCCAGTCGTCGCCTTCTTTCGCTGGTGGGGGGTTGCAGGTCAGGCAAGCAAAGACAGCTTGTCGCAGAGGGCCGAGAATTTTGGTGCATGTATCAATGCTCTACAGAATCGTAAGTCAATGCCGCGACCGGAAGAAGAGTGGAGTGGAAACATACGTAAGGAAGTGCCTCGCGGGCATCGGCTTCAAGAGCTTCTTGAGATCGAATAAACCTAGTTGGTGTTAGAGAGCTACTACATGTTCAGAGAAACTGGCATCCTACTCGGCAGCTGTTTGCGATGTCTCGGAAGTTTGCGACTTTCCAGAAAAGCTATCCTTGCGTTCTCGAGATTGTTGTTGAGGCGCATCTTGCACGGGCGCAGAGGCCGAGGCAGCGTCTGCAGACATGAGTGCGATTGATGAGATCAGAGAGAGGCTGTCGAATATTGAAGATAAATGTGGAAAAGAAAGAAACAGATGAAAGATGAAAGATGACTATTAAAGGATCGGATGACAGGTTTGTCAGAATTGATGGGTGATGCAAGGTTTGATACTTGTACAAGTACAAGATGAGGAGAATGGTCAGCTAAGGTCCTACCTTATCGACAGTGCGACAGTTCCTTAACTACAGCTCGAGTTGGAGGTTGCGAAGCTCGTAGGGTGCTATAATAACGCGGGCATCTATAGGGGAGCTTGTTGTAAGGTTTAGGCCAAGTAATTCTGTCAGCAGAGGCAAACCACTTTACGCGTGGCACGTCAGTACCAATCAATTAACGCGTCGAGCCGCGCCTTGATACGCGAAATTACCCCTTGTCAACTGCACCCACTTTCATGCTGTCGTTTCCCTTCCAACCATGACCACGAATTGAGCCCCTCAATCTTGACACTTTCAGTTCAAACCAAACTTTTGGTCTCCAGAATTACTCAGATACTCTATCACGATATCACCAATTATCGATATCTTTGAAGAGTTGCAACCATGAGGTTTGTCTCTCCAGGGTGTTCTTCACCACCATTCAAGCAAAAGAAAATTAGCTAACAGCCACTTGAAGTTCCCCGCTACATCCTTCTTCGGCTCGTCCGAACAGAAAGCGATCGCGAACAGGAGGAAGCGATGGCCCTTCACCAGCAGGCTTCGGCTCAAGCCCTATGCCTTCTTCGCCCCCTGCCGAGTTCAACATGGCGCACGGTGTTGAGGACGACGATGACATCGAGGAAGAGGCCCAGATCCAAGACGATATCGATGAGCTCGACGAAATGGCAGAAGACGACGTTGATCTGTTCCGTGAAGGCTACGAGGCCGATTACCAAGAACGAGAGAATGACATGTACGAAGGCATTGGCATTGACGACGAGGGCGATTATGACGAGATGAACCTTGCCGATCGACGTCGGCTAGAAGCCCAGCTCAACCGAAGAGATCAGGCAGTCAGACGGGAAATTCCCAATATCTATCTCGATGGCGATGAAGATGATGGCGACATTGATCTCACAGCCCAGCCCCGACGTCGCCGTCACCATTACGATGAAGATCCCGACGATTTCATGGACACCGACATCATGGCCGAGGAACTCTCCCTCGAAGCACTTGCTGATGTAAAGGCTACCAACGTCACCGAGTGGGTGTCGCAACCCTCAGTCCAGCGAACCATCAGACGCGAGTTCAAAGCTTTCCTCACATCCTACACTGACAGCTCTGGTTCATCCGTCTACGGTAACCGAATCCGAACACTCGGTGAGATCAACGCCGAGTCTCTTGAGGTCTCATACGAACACCTCTCCGAAAGCAAGGCCATTCTGGCTTACTTCTTGGCCAATGCGCCTCAAGAGATGATCAAGTTGTTCGACGAGGTTGCCATGGACGTTGTTCTGCTTCACTACCCCGATTACGAGCGCATTCACGCCGAGATCCACGTTCGTATCTTCGATCTGCCTGTGCACTACACACTACGACAACTCCGCCAGTCTCACCTCAACTGCCTTGTTCGAGTCAGCGGTGTCGTTACCCGACGATCGGGCGTCTTTCCTCAGCTCAAGTACGTCAAGTTCGACTGCAGCAAGTGCGGTGTTACTCTCGGACCTTTCCAACAAGAGTCAAACGTCGAAGTCAAGATCACATTCTGCCAAAGCTGCCAGTCGAGAGGCCCCTTCACTCTCAACTCGGAGAAAACTGTCTACCGAAACTACCAAAAACTCACCCTCCAAGAATCTCCTGGAACAGTACCCGCTGGTCGATTGCCACGATCGCGCGAGGTTATTCTTCTCTGGGATCTGATCGACAAGGCAAAGCCTGGTGAGGAGATTGAAGTGACTGGAATCTACCGCAACAACTATGATGCTCAGCTCAACAACCGCAACGGCTTCCCTGTGTTTGCTACTATCCTCGAAGCAAACAATGTTGTCAAGTCTCATGACCAGCTGGCTGGTTTCCGAATGACTGAAGAGGATGAGCACACAATCCGCAAGCTGTCTCGCGACCCCAATATTGTGGACAAGATTATCAACTCGATAGCACCTAGTATCTACGGCCATACTGACATCAAAACCGCCGTGGCTTTGTCGCTCTTCGGTGGTGTTGCCAAGGTTACCAAGGGTGCTCATCACCTCCGAGGTGACATCAACGTACTCCTCCTTGGTGATCCAGGTACAGCCAAGTCCCAGGTTCTCAAGTATGCTGAGAAGACAGCTCACCGAGCTGTGTTTGCTACAGGTCAAGGTGCCAGTGCTGTCGGTTTGACGGCCAGTGTCCGAAGAGATCCTCTCACCAGTGAATGGACTCTGGAAGGTGGTGCTCTGGTGTTGGCTGACCGTGGAACTTGTCTCATTGACGAGTTTGACAAGATGAACGACCAAGATCGAACGTCTATCCACGAAGCAATGGAACAGCAGACCATCTCCATCTCCAAAGCCGGTATTGTCACCACCCTACAAGCTCGATGTGGTGTCATTGCTGCCGCCAATCCCATCGGTGGACGATACAACTCCACCGCCCCCTTCTCTGCCAATGTTGAGTTGACAGAGCCTATCTTGTCTCGTTTTGATATCCTGTGTGTGGTGCGAGACACCGTTGAGCCCGAGGAGGATGAGCGTCTGGCACGATTCATCGTCGGATCACATAGCCGAAGCCACCCTCTCAGCCAAGCTCAGCAGGACTCGATGGAAGTTGAACATGACACACAAGCTGAGACACAAGCCACGAATGGTGGCCGCAAGGCCGAGGGTGATATTCCTCAGGAGTTGTTAAGAAAGTATATCCTCTACGCGCGCGAGCACTGTTCCCCAAAGCTGTACCATGTCGACGAGGACAAGATTGCACGACTGTTTGCCGACATGAGACGAGAGTCTCTTGCCACCGGTGCCTACCCCATCACAGTAAGTTCTTCCTACATCATGAAAACCGTGGCATCTCAAACTGACAAACTTAGGTGCGACATCTTGAAGCCATCATCCGTATCAGCGAAGCCTTCTGCCGCATGCGCCTCTCAGAATACTGCTCATCACAAGACATGGACCGAGCGATCGCCGTCACAGTGGACAGCTTCGTGGGCAGCCAGAAAGTTAGTTGCAAGAAGGCTCTCGCGAGGGCATTCGCCAAATACACGCTCGCGCGGCCTGGTACTCAGAAGAAGACCGGCGGCAACAGCCAAGCGAGGCGGCAGACTGGTGTTGTTGGTTAAAACGGGTAGTGCGTCTGTGATGTTGTAATGAGGACGGGTGTTTTGGCGAAGAGGTTTGGAATGGATATCAGCTTTGCAATGACGGCTTGTATGATTGAGTTGAGAATACCTCGCATGTAGATTTAATGTATCATGAGATCAAAATACACCATCACAACGTGCGGATCATTCCGTGTTCGCAGAATTGCTCTTTTCGTCATGCCAGTTTCTATATCATGGTCTTGTTCGCGAAGCACAACGAGTGTTCGCATTTTACCTCAGACCTCAGACCTAGCTGGTCGTTTCCAGAACTCACAGGACTCATGGTGAAAGAACAACAACGCTTTATATGACCAATGCCAGTATCAGAAAGGCGCAGCGGCCCTTTTCGAACTGCAGCTTGAGCTGGACCAGAACACTTGGTCGATGAAAGGGCTCTTCAGGCAATAAATAGGCATCGACTCATCTGTTGACTTCACCTTTTTTCCTTCAAGACATTCCATCTCAGCAATCTTATCTCAACAAAGAAATACCTTTATCTGCCAAACGAACTACCCATCGACAACCACCATGGATTCCTTTATCGCATTCACTGCTCTTCTCTTCCTCATTGTCAAAATCATCGGCACAGCACCCCCACAGCATATCTTCCACAAACCCCGGGACTTTCAACCCACTCGAGACCGGAGAGAAGACACCCGACGATATTTTGCCAACATGAATGCATGATATGATACGCACATACACAGTCGCGTGTGGGATATCTATTTCGGTCTTTGGTGGACCAAGCTCATAATCGCTCTGCACACTCTTGTCACTAGTGGTCAGTTTCTGGGAACACTGGTTGGATCGTTGGCTTACGTGGTGTTCTACTTCTTCCTGGCTCTGGTGTTGATGGTTACTGAGAGGCTTTGGGGTACCATTTGCGGTTTATTTGGGTTCCATGACCTACTTGCTATGTGGTTCGACCCGTGAACAACTACATTGTATTTCGAGGTCAGGTGCCTTGTCCGAGTGAGTATAATGTTGCTGGCTAAATCAATATTGCACCATTCACTTGGAGCCCTCTCCTGGGACTGCATCGTAAGTTGGCTTGCTAACACAATTATCAGAAATATCAGCATGACAAAGGTGGCATTATGTGAAGCCGGCAAGCCCATATACATGACAGATAGAAAACAGAAAAGAAAGAAAAAAAAGTGGTAAAACAATTTCTGCTGTATCAAACAAAATGCCCTTGTATTTCCAGCAAATGTTATGAATATGTGACTGTACCCAGTCTGATCTTCCCCTAAATCGTAGCTCTGTTAGCAAGATCGTGGTAAACCTCAAAGATAGTAAAAGGCTGTAATCAAGGATACATCTTGACAATCAGAATGAAAAAATTTCATATTCCTATGTAACAGGAGCTCCTATCGTGAATATGGATGAAGAGAAGTCTTCTCACACAGCTTTTCTATTTCTAAACTCTTGCTGCAGTACAACTGACCCATAGACTCAAGGGATTGGTGCTTCAAACCATTCCTCGATAGCCTTGGTGAACTGATCAGGATCCTGAAGCGGCGCAAAGTGACTCACCCCAGTCAAAATCTCGACGTGGCTCCCATTGATAGCCTTGTGCAACTTCTCCGGCACATCTCTATTCACAGCCTCCTCATGCTCAGCCCCAACAATGATAACCCTCGGTCCATCGATAGATCCAAGCTGCTCATCCGTGAACTGGGGAAGTGTAGCCTCCATCGTGGCAACTTTGGTGCCGAAGAGGGTGAAGTTGGCGTGAGGCTGTAGTTCAGCGTACTCAGTACGGCAGCGAGATACAAACTCCGAGAAGATATCTGTACTTGAGAACGTGGCGTTGGTCTGCTCGGGGTTGGCTGATCCTCCAAAGATGAAAGCCTTCTTGATGGGTTCTGACATGACAGGGTCGATGAGTGCAGCGAGAGTTGTGATGGCACCATCGGACCAGCCAACGACGTTGTACTCGGAGATGCCATGGCTCTTCAGCAGATCGTTCGTATCTTGAGCGAACCCTTCATAAGTGAAGATATCGTTCTTGTTGAAGGTTGAACGACCGTGGCCTCGGCGATCAACAGCAATGACATAGTATCCGTGCTTGATAAGACGGGAGATGACGGATCCAAAGTATGCAGAGTAACCTAGACCGCCATGGTCCATAACAATAGGGATAGCATCCGCTTTCTTGTTGTACTCCTGCATCCAGAGAGAAACATTGTTGATGTGGGTTGTTTTGTGGGTGATGGGTGCTGGTAGGTCTGGCGTGGGTGGGAGAGTCAGCCAGATTGGCTTCTCCTGACGGGTAGCCAGACCGTTGGCGAGAGCTCCGAAAGCGAGCAATTGCTTGAACAACATTTTGAATCGATTGCTGGTTTCTTCAGTCACGTTTCAGGGGCTGTAGAGGCATTATATATTCCAACTGGTGGTCTAAGCTGTAATACGAGATGGGCTAATACATCCCAGTCAATGCTCAACTGCCGGCGAGCACGGCTGTGAATAGAAACTCTAATCCAGGGAGCATAGTAATTTCCCTTAGAAAGACGCTATGCTAGGATATCCTAGTCGAAATACTGTGTTCTGCTTGGTGGATAGTATGTCCATAGAACTTTTCGACGCCGTTGCAAACTCTATCTTTCGCTTAGCGGACAACTCGGAGTCGATGATTATGCTATCACAGCGCTTATTAACAAAAGCGTCGTAATTTATACGACTATCCGAGGTTTCCGAGGAAGCTAGGTCGCGTATACTTTGTGTTTCCAACTCTTGATTGAGCGTATGATAGGCTGTGAGTGTTTGTTCGACACCAACTTGCACATCTTGTCATTTGCTTAGCATCAACGATTGGGGAGTGAAGAAACCGTATTTTCAAGTCTCAAAGACTGGTTTGTCAGTCACATCAGCTATGACTTCAGGTGGAATGGAAAAGAGATGTGTAACAGGGAAGGGTCACTGATCACTCTAGTGATGCAAGGTCTCAAGATAGATCTAGGCAAGTTGAGATAATTGAAATATTAGATTCATTCATTATATAGTAACCCTCGCCTTCAAGCCATCCAGTGACCATGAGAAAGCGAGCCCAGTCCTAATCCATTCCCAGGGTTGATAGTTCATTACACGTGAAGGGTATGGCTTGACCCGAAGCCTGCCCATATTCAGGAGTACCTGCCCCCTCATCAAGTAGACTCCCAGCCTCTTTACTTGGCAATGATGATGTTGTTGTTGACTAGTGAAGAGTTAGCACTTGTTGAAAACAATCGATTCGATTTGATCACTTACCCTCTTTAGAGATAATAGTGATCTGGGGCTTCAAAGCAGCATCGATGAACTGAGCCAAATTCAGGCCAGCAATGCCGTTGATGAGCCCGAGGTTCAGGTTGCCAAGGTCCAGTCGAGACAGCTCAAACTGGTCAAAGATACCAGTCTCGGCAATAGCAAGCATGGTGGAGAGCTGCTGGAGCTGGAGAAGAGACTGGAGGCTGAAGTCCCGAGAGGCGAAGAGATCTTGGAAGACGACGACGTTGAAGTTGTTTCGCTGGCTGAGGACCTGGAGCTTGCCGAGGTTGAGCTGGTTGACCCGGAGAAGGTAGTTGAGATCGACTTGGCTAAAGGCGAGGCCGCCTCGGTTGAGACGATCATCCTGGCGACCACGGCCAGCACGGTCCTCTCGGTCATCCTCGCGCTCGCCCTCACGGCCCTCCTTTCGTCCAGGCTCGCGGAGATCAGCACGGCCGTCCTCGCGGTCTCGGCTAGGAGCACTCTCGTTGAGAGCAGCGCGTTCTTGAGAGAAAGTGGCGACACCGGGGGCGGCGGCAGCGAACGCGGCAGAGGCGATAACGAAGAAAGCTGAGAACTTCATCTTGAAAGGATTGAGAAGGTGGTTTTGGTTGTGTGTTGAGTGAGTGAGTGAGTGAGTGTTGGAGTTGGACTGTAAATATCAAATGGGTATATGAATGTTGTGAGCACAGCTCTAAAGGCGAAACGGTGGAAGGAATGAAAGCCGACAAGAGCACAGCTGGAGAGTTCAGTGTTAGTAAACTTGATATTTGTAGTCGGGAATAGTGTTAATGGCTCACCTCTTTAGGAAATGACTGGTGTTTGGAAGGATGGACTGGGAGATGATTGTGAGATGAAGATTCGAATTATTTCAGCGGGAGTTCTTCCCCATCTTTATAGGTAAACTACTGACAAACATTGTCAGCTCAGATTCAACGTTGTTTCTTGATCGGAAGCATTCCATCCCCGGAGCCGTGCTGGCCGAGCACGTCAAAACCGCCATGAAAGGCTCCTTGTCACCGGCAACACCAGAGGCCGGAGCTAGCCCTATGACGATATCGTACGGAAGCGTAATACAATGTCTCATGGTATCGATCTGGCGTGGTAGAATGCAACATGTCCCCGGAAGTGGGAACGCCAAGCTGGGCTCTTTTTCATCCGCTCAGGTCTTGCAGGGATGAAAGTGTCAGAGCTTCGGGGACTGCACGAGAGAGCGGAGCCGATGAGACTATACGAGACATCAGATAAAGCCCAAGGCTGAGTTTCAGATCTCGACTTTGCACTGCAGATTCCTGTCTCCAAAAAGTTAAGGTTGGGTTTATGCTTCTTGGATCGACAGGGGTCTGGTGCATGCCCTGTCAGAGCGTGGATGGTTGGCGTCTCAACCTGTCAATCAGTCAGCAGGCATTAACACGGCTAGATGAACAAACGTCTCAGGTTTGTGACGGAAGAGCCATCACCGAAAGATACAGAGTCGCTCATTGGATGTAGTTCGTCGAAACACTTTCAGAACCTTAGTCGAACGGATGACGGGAAACTGTCATTGCCGATCCTTGACTTTGCACTTGACCGAATCAGAGAACCAGACGGCGAGTTGGGATTGCTCAGAGGAACTGCCGAAAAGTTGGACTAGAGTAGTAAAGTTGCCATAGGGTAACCGGCCGTGAATATCAAGTCGTGTTGAGCTCTTTTGAATCTCAAGGGTTCAACGAAGCTCTTGCAGCCGATCAACATCTGGAGTGATGTGTAAATCGAGACTGAGAGCGGCTTTCGACAATTGGCCCTTCTCGGTAGGTTCGCTGTATCTCGTAGGACTCATTTTTCATCTGATAATTTGTCCATGTCATATCCGACTCGACTGAAATCTTGGCTGTGAGACACTCGTCCAAAGTTGTGAACTTGCACAAACCATCTTGGCAGCCATCAGACGAAGAATATTGAAACACCCAGGCCATAGTGCTTCAGGTAACTCGCTTCAGGATACTGAGAGCCTTTTTGCGTTGCAGTCGAGAATATGACAGGCTTGAATATTGACCGGGGACAAATGAATATCCTTTCTTGGCAAGTATCGCAAGGTGCCCGGCCAAGTTTGTCTCTCCTCGGGCTTGGGTTGGGTTGAGTTTCAAAAATAAGACAGACAATCGCTGGGTCATTTGACCGGCCTAACTCAATGTCAGCGTCTGCGAAGCAAAGTGAGTGACCTTGGACTCACTTGGTGTGGTAGCTATTCCATTGGGTAACTCAGCCAATTGCTCTTTCTTGGCCAAAGCCTAGTTGATATTCTGAGACATCTCTCACGGTTTCTGTTGCAAGACTATGCTTATTCTTCGTCTGGTGTTGATATCAAAGCTGCCTGCTTGATTCGTCCCAACTCGTCAGCGATATCGGACTCCCTCATCGCTCCCAGCACTGCAGACCGCCGCAACCGCCCGTCGAAGCTCAGTAACCGGCCTGAATATCTCTCCCAGTCTCTGAGAGAGCTTCGAATTCTTTTATCTTTTGTTGAAAATCAAAGTGGCGCCTTGGCGACGATGCCGAGGACTTTGGCCACGGCGTCTGAGGAACTGCACAGCAAATGGAAGAAATCAATTCATGTCCTGCCAAGCTACTGCCGACCATCAGCCGATAAGAGGTGGGATATGCTTCTGCAACCTCTTGGCTGGGAAGAATTCAATGATCAGTCCCGGCTACTGAGTTGGTTGAAAGGTTTGTGTCTCCCCTACCAAGTTTTGTTGACGATGAGGAACTATCTGGCTGCTCTCAACTTCTGATTTCATATTGGATCTTCTCATTATCAGAGCATCAACTCTTACAAGACCCGTAACGGCTTCCCATGGCCGAACAGGAAAGAAGGCTCAGTACAGCATACGACGCCCGACGGACCACGGTAGTATCTTTATGTACCCTGTTCCTTGTTCTCTATTTACGACTGACTTTTTATTCTGCCTTCCAGGTTCATAAGTAACACCTCAGGCATCCTGGACACACGGCAATATCATCACAGAGCCTCCAGCCCCCGGAAGCGAAAAATCATGTCTGGGCTCTCAATATAACCTCCGAACAAGGCAACCCCTTTTCATTCAAAGTCACGACCCATAATTATCCTCTTCGTTTTCAAAAGAAACGTCATTGTCCTTCGAGGAGAGAACGATACTTCCCCAGTTATATCTATCTTAGGAGAGCAACGGGACATCAGACAAGACAAGTCCAAATCTTCTCGACCTCAACACAAAGTTGAGGTCCAGGAAGCAAGAATACTTGTGACCTCTTTTCTAAGTTATGACAGAACTCAAGTAAGTCTAGGATAAGCTTGGTAGGATTTGAGGCCAGTCTATTCTATTCCAACACCTTGATTCAATATCAGAAGTTTTCTTGCTCCCCAAAGACCTGGCTCCAACCCGGGGACCAAGTGCCAAACCAAGTGCTTTCCCTCCAATTTCCCAGCTTCAATATATGCTGCCTACCATTCTGCAGATTAGTCTCATCAGATGGTGCGCGAAGCTCAACAATGGTTGGGTGTATCGGCTTTCTCAAACGCCAACCGCACATGGTAATATCAAATTTATTGATATTAGGAATAACATAGGATTTTCGAAAAGGAGTCCCAACGTCAAAGTCGCTTCAAACTTGCTTGCCAAATAGATTCATCATGCTTGGACTACAGTAGTCGCATCTGCTTGCATTCTCCTCATCACACCTTTGTTGATCAACCCCTCTCCTCCAAGAGTCAGATGAAGAGGCCCTGGCTGCGAAGCGGTATTCTGCTCTGACGGCAGTCTCACCGATGCCACCTCGGCTTGATGTCTCATCTCATCAACTCCCACAATACCATTTATCTGCCTCATATCCGGTCTGGGCTCCCCCCACTCCTTAAGCTGACTTCCTATATGCGCCAAAGCATCAGCATCAAGAGTCTCCGTCCACGTAGGGGCACGTAGAATGAACCACATCAACGCAAAAAGCCCCATAACTTGAAGACATATCAGTACAGTGACAGTTATCACCGCTGCTGAATCCTTTTTGGGCTTTATGACTGCAGTTCCCGGGCTATAGAAGATGGGGCGCTTCTCAAATAGCGAGGC